CAAGTAAATCACGCCGCTATTTTAAATATTTTCGTTAAACCTGTTTTGTTTCGCCCTCTTCCGTTCGCTGAGCCAATGTATTCACTCTGACGAATAGCTAACACTCGAAACGTCAGCTTTACTGACTCTTTAAAGTGCTTGGCCATTTTAAATTGTCAATTCAGTGTATAAAACCAATTTATCTGATTATAACCTTGCCAAGTAAAGCTGTGGGAATTGAGAAAATTTTTCTGAGTTTAGAATTTCTGTTCGTCGTTGCAATTGTAATGAAAATTTTCAAAATTTATGTTAAATCTCGCAAAGATTCACTGAAAACCCAGTTATTGGTTAAAACTTGACATTGATCAGAATGAATCATTTTTAAAACATTCGCTGTAGGTTGATCACATTTCCATTCCTCTTAAACATTTCACTCCAAGAATCTGCATCAAGACTAAAAAAACCAAGAGCAAACGTGTGGAATTCGACTTGCCGAACCATTTTTAGTTTAGCTGCTATGATAATTCTGTAAAACTTGATTGCAGGGTGAATCTTATTATAATGCTATTTCTGAGTGACTGCTGTGTTTTTAACGCGTTCTGATCGTTCTCGCAGTCTTGCTACATCATTCTGACGTAGCAAGGCTGCGCCCTTTTGATCACATGACCTCTGTAACCTAGTAATGTCCGGTGTGTGAATCGGGTAAATTTTAACCGTTTGTAGTATGGATACACAATAGGAACGTTTGTTTTGTTTCCCTTTTTTCTTTCGACGTAGAAACCAATAAGAGAAAGTTTCATCCATACAGAATTATACGAAAAAGTCATCTCCCTCGCTTATCTATTGGTATTTTCTCACATACCGCAAGGCTCAATTTAATAAAACTTCTACACTCGTAATCTACAAGTTAGACCGTTATATTTACAAGTGCAGACGAAAACGAGTTTAATAAACATTATTACAAGTCCAGGTTATAAGTGTCCGTCTTGTAATTACAGGTGTAGCGCTACAAGTGTAAAAGATGGTAAGTATCCAGTTTAATAAAACTTTTACAAGAGTCCAACTTGTATTTTTCCAAGAGTTCGACTTGTAAATCACAGGTGGAAAATACATGTCGCAAGTCACTTTTAAACACTGAGTACTTCTTCTGAAAAAGGACATGGGAGCGTCACAATATGTCATCTTCTAGTGAAGAGGAACTCGACGAACTGCTAAGACGTCAAGTTATCTGTCGACCTAGGAATTTCCAAAACAGACGGCTTTTCGACACCGAAAATCCAACGGAATTTCGAGAGAAGTTTCGACTGCCTGTGGACACCTTCGTCCGCCTTTTGGAATTAATAGGCCCGTGCTTGGAGCATAAAACGAGACCTAACGGAGCAGTAACGCCAAGACAGCAGCTTTAAGTATTTCTCCACTTCCTTGGAACAAATTCCTTCTATCACGTAATGCCCTCTTTTTTTCATTGTATCGCCACATCAACAGTATGGCATATCATTCATCGCGTTATCCCTGCAATACTAAGCTAGAAGGAGGAGTTCATACGATGGCCTGGCCAGCCTCTAAGTATCGCCGCTAAACTCACAGACATCGCAGGCCTTCCGTGTGTTGCAGGATGCGTCGATGGAACTCACGTTTAAGTGAACCCACCTCACAATAATGAAGACGCCTACGTCAACCGCCATCATTCCAAATCTCTGAATATCGCCATGGTATCAGGCCCAGATTACACATTCTACTTCTGTAGCAGTCGATGCCCACGAAGGTGGCATGATTACGAGTGATTAAAGACAGCTGACTGTAGACTGCCTTAGAGCAACAGGGGAATAGACCATTCCCAGGAGCAGTGATTTTAGGCGTCTCTGCCTTCGTCGGCAACAATTGGTTGATCCCCCCTTTCAGAGGAGACGTAGAAGGAGCTCGCTGCAGGTTTAATGAGGCGCGTAAGAAAACACGATGCACAATCGGGAGGGCATTTGGCGTTCTCAAGAGAACGTTTTACGCTCTCCACACGGGTATGAGAGTGAAAAACATGACAAGAGCTGCCGAGCTTGTCCAGCGCGCTGTTATATTGCACAACCTCTGCATCCTATTTAGCGATAATGGCGGTGATCTGCTGGACGATGCAGATCTTAACAATGTCCACGATGAGTTGGATATCGGTCCTGGAGAGGAACAAGAGGACAGAAGGCAGCAGCTGTTGCAGCACTTCCTATAAATGTGAGGACTTATACAAATGACGCTGAATTAAAAACTGCCACTGTTTTAATATCGAGCCAATTAAATGGGCCATTTTTTATTCAGTGACGATAATCATTACCTTTTATTACACAAAGTTACTTACACCTAACTTCCAAAGGAAAAAATGAGTGTACATGTAGGTCATAATTCTGATATCGCCCATCACCAATTTACA